AACCTACCAAACCTCTAAGCATCCATCACAGGACAAAGTAAATTTAAACTGCCACATCACTAAATAATCTCCGTACAAAACCAAACATAACGTAGCTAACATACACTACACAGCATTTTAGTTAGGCTAGATAAATTAATCTATGATGAGTTATTATTTACATTTTTTCCTATTAGTGAAAAGTAACCTACCATGCTTGTGTGATGTAACTTTTTAAGGAAGGTTATAATAATTTCTTATGTCCTAAAAATCCTCAAACACTAAGCCCCCAAAAGTACAGCCCAGGGCAGGTCCCTTTACATAGTGGTGGGTCATGTGGCTTCTCACCGTAGCTGTGGCAGACGGTGTGACCGCTACCACAAAATGTGCTCCAGGTAAAGTGGCTAATACATGCATAGTGGTGGTTAAGTGACAATAAAAGTTGTGATGCAATAATGGTGCAGTACCACTCCCTGATGAAAGTGGCAGTGAAGTTACAGTGAAGTGGCAGTGCCAGTTGCTAATAAAAGTGGTGATGTAATGACGGTAAAGTGACAGTGCCGGTCGCTGATAAAAGTGGCGGTGCAGTACTGGGCGCTGATAAAAGTGGCGGTGCAGTACTGGGCATTGAAAAAAATGACGGTGAAGTGACTGCCAGTCGCTAGTAAAAGTAGCAGTGCAGTGCCAGTCGTTCCTTCCCCATTCCTCCATTCTTTCATAAACTGCTATTACTCTTTCATAAACTGATTTGACTCCAGTTACCCTGTTTAGGTTTATTTAATTAATTTTTTTAACAAATAATCAGTTATTTAGATGTTTATTTTCAGCTGATAAAAGTGGCGGTGCAGTGCCAGTTGATGATAAAAGTTGCAGTGCAGTGACAGTGCAGTACCCGATTCTGATTAAAGTGCTGGTGAAGTGATGATGAAGTAACAACGTCGGTCACTGATAAAAGTGGTGGTGAAGTTGAAGTGACTGTGCCAGTTGCTGATAAAAGTTGCGGTGCAGTGATGGTGCTTGTTGCTGATAAAAGGGGTGGTGCAGTGCCAGTCACTGATAAAAAAGGGCAGTGCAGTGCCTGCCGCTGATAAAAGGGGTTGTGCAGTGCTGGTCCAGTTATACCTGGTTCAGCAGCAAAAAATCTTGGTGTCATAATTGATCCAGATTTATCATTCGATCAACACACAGGCAGTATCACTAGGACAGCTTTTTTACATCTTCGCAACATCGCCAAAATAAGAAATGCCTTATCGCTGCATGATGCAGAAACATAAGTACATGCCTTTATTACTTCAAGGCTAGACTATTGTAACGCACTACTGTCAGGATGCACCAGCAGGAATTTAAGTAAACTTCAACTAGTTCAAAATGCTGCAGCCAAATGACTTTATACGTCATTTATTGACGTATAAAGCCCTACATGGGCTCGCTCCTGAGTACCTACAAGACCTTATTTCCCATTACGAGCCACCACGATTACTCAGATCACAGAGTGCTGGCTTTTTAATAGTTCCCAGAATTCAGAAGGTTTCATCTTCTGGGGGAAGAGCCTTTTCTTATAAAGCCCCCAAACTCTGGAATGATCTTCCAGAAGATGTTCGGGACTCAGACTCAGTCGCAGTCTCAATCTTCAAATCTAGGCTGAAAACTCACTTGTTTAGTTTAGCTTTTGGTAGTTAATGTTTCCCCTTAGAAAAAGGCAGCAGATCCAGGGGTCCATGGACGCAGGGAATTATAGTAAACTGAGACGCTGGTGCTTTCGTCCCGCCGCTCACAAGCGATCACTCAGGTTTCTGGACGGTGGAGCGGAGGGATGCCAAATTGTCTCAGGGTGCTCCCATATCTGTGTGCCCTTTTGGTTCTCTCCTTTTAGTTAAGCTGTTATAATCAGATCTGCCGGAGTCATTAGCCACACTCTGGAAATGCCCACCTGTGGCATTAAAAGTGATGGTGAAGTGACTGTTGCTCAGAAGTACTTTATTAAAATACTCAGAAGTATTTTATTCACCTACAATTATCAGCTTACTAGATTTTTTTATTGTCTTTTTCTTATCCCGTGTGAGAGATTTCCCAGCAGACAAAGAGAAAGATTTCCTTGCTGGGAAATCATGCTTCATTCCTGCATTACCACATTCCTTTCAACAGATCTCCAAATCGACAAACATCAACAACATTTTCTTGCACAACAGGGAAAATGTATAGCTTTGAAGATGCAGCAGACACACCGCCTAAAGCTGTATAGCATATTTTTTTTAAATTATGCCCATTAAGATCCGGTTACCAACCCCATTCCTCATTCCTGCCAATGCTTTTTTTCCCTTCTCCTTTAAGGAAGATGTTCACTTCCCTGTCCTCATCACGTCATCAAGACATGATTTGTAATGGACTTTTTTCTTGCAACTGCAACTGTAAACTGTTTCAAGCTTATTAATTACATAGAAAATAATTTTTATTATTTATACTATAATATTAAATTAAAGGCACCTTGAAGTACAATTAACATCAGTTACTTTAAGTATTTTTTTCATCTAGCAGTAGCGGTTTCCTAGGGCTATTTCAGGTATTTTTTCAGGTGAAGTATATTTTATCTTTATTTCCCAGCCTACAAGCCTACTTGTTAGGAAATCATACTTCGGTTCTAAATATCACATTCCTTCCAAGAGATCAACAACCGACAGCAACATTTTCTTGCACAAAAGAAAACATGTAAACATCTTTGAAAAAGAGACATGCTGACATGCTGCCAAAAACAAAATAGTTTTGCAATAATTTTTCATTACGTTAATTATGAGGGTCAATAATAAAATAAAATCTAAATATAAAATATTTTCTTTTGTTTCTGTTGCATTAAAATGATGACTTAAAAACATTTTCACACATACATTATTGGTAGGATTGGGTGAGAAACTTTTTTAGTACTTTCAAATTGGCACCTTTTGCCATTGCATCCTGCATTACTTCAGAAAATAAAAATAAAAAACAAAAACAGTAGTTTGCTTACAGAATGTCCTGCTCCTGGAGATCTACCACCCTGCAGAGGCCTTCAGGGGCATCTTAACTTTAGAGCCAGGTGTGTTGGATCTGAACTCTTGAGGGTGGAATATCACCATAGCCAGGACTGAGGACCCCTGGCTTACAAGGTCACCAAATAAGTGAACACAGTGAATATTTTTTAAGGCATAATTAAATAAGTATCAAACCATCTGTCTATTAGTCTATCAGTTGTTAGACAGATGTTGCTGTGGTCAGCTGCTGTGGACGTCACATTTTGCCACTCTGATTGAAATCCAGTGAGCACTCATGTTTCATGGGTGGACATGTCCGCATGATTAAACACTAAACTTATCAGATATCTATTAAGAAAAAATATTTCAATGAAATAAAAAATAATAATGAAGTAAAACATTAAAATAATAAGAACAGTGGAAAAATAGTACCTGCTTTTAAACGAATAAAAATAAGTTTATTATTATATTACATATTTTATTATTATTATATCATTAAAATTATATAATGAGTTACAATTCCTCTCTTCATTAAAGTTTACCAATGACTAGCTTTTCCAGCGGTATCGAGGCACAGTTACTGTTGCTAGGCTGTGAAGGACCAACTGGGTGAGCCAATTTACTATAGCAGCAACCTAAGGCAGACCAGTGCTGCAGCTCTAGTCAGTAAAGAATACCAAAGACAGGGGCTCCCGAGTGGCGAAACTGCCTAAGCGTTAGCCTAATCATCAGAAGATCGCGAGTTTGATTCCTGGTGATGCTACTGTCATCTGTGGCTGGGAGTCCAAGAGAGCACAATTGGCCTCACTCTCTCTGGGTGGGTAGGGCGGCCCCCCTGTCTCCGCCTGATTGCTCAGCATGATGCCAGCCAGCGCAGGCATCTGGAAATCTCTTTATCATTTACTAAAAGTTGTGAGACTCGGGACCTCTCTCACTCATTGTGATGCTGAGAAGCTGATTTATGTGTTTGTGACCTCACGGTTAGATCACTATAATGCTCTCTTGGCTGGACTTCCAAGTCAGAATATACAAACTCAAAACATTTCTGAAATCATGCCAGTTTTATAATCTTTGCATTGGTTACTCGTTACAGAGAGAATTACTTTTGGTTTATAAATGTTTACAAGGCCAAGCTCCAGTATATTTGCAGGATCTTTCACTCCCTCAGCCTCATGCTACAGTTTCAGTAAGATCTGGATCCTCAAATCTGCTGGTAGTTCCACATTCCAAGTTATGCTCCATGGCTGACCGTGCTTTTAGTTCTTTGTGTCCACAATTATGGAATGAGCCCCCAGAGAAGAAATTCTCGATCTTTATCTCTTCTTAAGAAGAATCTTAAGCTTTTTTAGACTTGTTTTCATGAACGTATTTTATTTTCTGTAAAGCACCTTGAGTTGATGCTGTCATGAAGGTGTACTATATAAATATAATGTATTACTATTAATTACATGAAATAAATTAAATGCAGTGTCCGCATGCCAGTTGCAGGTTGTCGCTTAGTTAATTAACCAGTTATGCAGCTACAAATATTACAAAGTAATTTAATGAACTTAATTAAATGTGTTATATGCAATGTTCCTGACCTTAGCTAAGTTCTGCTGAAATAGAAATGGTAGGGGTGATTAATCATGTTGTCAGGTGAACTAATTACAATAATCCTAAATTTAAGTGTTATAAATCCTTTGCAGCTGTTGACAGTCTGATAAAGTGTTGGTGAAATGACGATCGCTGAGAAAGTGTTGGTGAAGGAACTGTTGCTGATAAAAGTGGTGGTGAAAGGAACGGGGAAGGGACGGTGCCAGTCACTGATAAAAGTGGCCACAGATATTTAGGTTCCCTCAACATCTATGCATTCAACATTTTCAGTTCCTGTTCATTCTGGGTGTGTTCTGTCTTTAATGAGTGAAATGCATGCAGGAAATAATATATGTTGATTTAGCTGATTTACTCTAAAGGGAGTGTCACCTTTAATGGGTTGCCCACTTTGTCACTGGGTTATAAAAGAAGCCTCATAGCCCAGGTTACAGTACAGACAGCAGATAGACTGGAAACATCCCAGTGAGCTGGAGGCGCCGGTAAGTACAAATAACCACTGCCTTAAAATAATGAAATGATAAGCACAGTCTCTTGATGCTGACTTACATACAGGTATTTTCCAGTTGCCTTATGTTAGTACTTCAGTGGTTTGTAATGTGTAAAAGGTAATTTCACTGATTTTTCTATGTTTCTGCATAATTAAATGGTCAAGATGCAAACAAAGTCACTCAGAGTGGTTTGGTGTGAAATGCTCTGTTCTAGAGAAACTTACAGAGTCAAATTCGTTCACAGTGGTGGGGATGGGAACCAGACCCCCGAAGAGTCTAATACCTCTGAAAGCTCCCTTACAGGAAGTTATTACATGGAATGGTTATGAACATGTGGCGATATTTCTAAAAATTAGTTCCTGGCAGAGGGATACGTAAAGGGTTTTGAACGGCAAAATAGTCCCCAGAAAAACTATTTTATCACTTTGTGTTGTAGACATTGTGACCCTGGTTCCTATCACTACCACTGTAAAGAAATCTCTGATAGGGTTCACTATAATGAACCATTCCACATCAAACTACTCTGAATGACTTTGTTTACATCTCAACCACTGAATCATGCAGATGTTTTAATTGAGTGGAATTTCTCTTTCATGTCTAAAGTATTTTTTCTTCCAGGTGTGATGTATGTTTGTTAAGTTGTTAAGCAGCACCGCTGGGTTTCATCTTAGATCTTTTTTGTGCTCTTGTGTAGTTTCACTGTTGATTGGAAGCTGCAGGCAGGATGAAAGTGTTGGTAAGTCTCATTTTCTGTAGCTACACTGATGCTGACATGTTTTCAGAAGTAAATGTCTTCCGTCTTTAGTGTCTTATGATATTAATTTATTGTACCCGTGTCAATACCGGTTTTAACAAGACCCTCATCCCCAGCGCTGTTAAGGGCTGTTCCATTACTTCATTAGCTGAAGGGGGTTAGATGAGCCCTCAGAGAGGTGAGGGATCGAGTGAGCACCAGTGTTAACTTCAGCAGCAGAACGTATCTGGAAATCATTGAGATCTGATACATTTCTCTTCTGAAACTCCAACATTATGGCAGACAAATCTGTTAATAAGTTATAGCAATAAACTAGTTTAAATGCCTAACATTTCAAAACAATAGCATCAGATTTACTGGACTTAAATTTACAAATTACTTCATCTGTTACACATAACTGCTAATACAAGTTCCCTCTGCTAGCTGGCTAGTTAGCACGCTAAAGGCTCCATGGCTAACTAGAACAGAAGGAAAGGCATTGCACCACGATTCAAGTTTATTGCCAGACAAAGCAATTACTCACACACGTTATATACATTACGCTCAAACTTTCTGAAAAACGTTTTGCATTGCAAGCTTTCTGGAAGTTTGCATGACTAGCTGATTAGCTCCCTGAGAGCTCCACTCCTCACTGTCCTCTCCTCCCCTTCTGCTGTGAGTGACCACTTGTGCAACATTGGAGTGACGCACATCCGAGGTTAAAAAAGTTAAAAAAATGAATTGAAACAAGGTCAGAGTTTTAAACCAGTGGTCACCAACCCTGCTCCAGTAGATCTACCTTCCTGTAGGTTTTACCTCCAACCTAAATTTAACACACCTCATTCAGCTAATCGAGGACCTCTGGAGGCAATAATTAGAGACATCTAGTGGGGTCAATGAGTGCTGCAGCTAGTCTGCAGGGAGGTAATTCTCCAGGCGCAGGACTGGTGACACCTGTTTAAATGTGTAGTTATTATGGAAAGTCTTTTTGTTTTGGGTAAATTTTATTCTTTATTTTATTCTTTTTATTACATTATTTATAGTTGATTTATAATTTTGTCTCTGGGTTTCTTGCTAGATCTTTTGTGTGGTGTTGAGTGCATCCATTGCTGGTAAGCAAGATGAAAATTGTGCCATAAATAAATAAAACATGTATTTTTACTTTAGACTTTTTGTAGATTTTATATTAATTGTGTCATTTGACACTCTTTTATTTATTATTTATTTTCTATGCTTTACTGTTTTTTTTCCACTGTTTGCTGAAGTACAGTTCCTTGTTTTACTCAGCATTGTCATTATTACTATTTCTTTCTTTTCCTTTTTATTGTTTCTTTTGTTCTATGATTTTATCATCCTTATTTTCTGTTTTCTTTTGTTCTCTTAAACTATTTTTAAATTATTTTATCTTCTTTGTAAAACACTTTGACTTGCATTTTCTTTATGAAAGTTGCTTAAAAATAAAGTTAGTTCTTATGTTATTACTTATTACATTATTAAATGCAGTTTGTTTTTTTTTCCCCTCTTTTTACAGGAACTTTACAGGATGTTTTAGACATCCAAAGGCAAGGTAAGGTCCAAACTAAATAACTTAATTTAATTTGTAAAAAAAAAAGAATTATTAGAGTAAACATAGAAATCCTCAAAAAACACAGTTTGATTTAAACAGTTTAATCCTCTGTCTGAACTCAGGTTTTAAATTGATATGAGTGGACTTTTGTGAGGAAGTTTTGAAAGTTTTATAATCTTTCTCTCTTTAGTATGTTACACTCAGTGGTTTGACCGGGACGACCCCAGTGGCAATGGAGATTATGAAACCCTCACTGACCTGAGAAAAGAATATCCTGGGAAGATCTGCTCTCAACCTCTGACCATTCAAGCTGTGACCATGTCTGGTGTAGCTGCTGAAAAATCTGGACAAGTCATTCAAACGTTAGTTTACTTTAACTTGTCTCCAACTCTGGATATATACACTATAAAAAAAATTAAAGTCAGCTCAACTTAAAATGATAAGGTAGCTTATTACACAGCAAGTTAACAACTTGATGACACAAGTTCACCAAACTCAAACTCCTAACATGCCAAGTTGCCACAATCCTACCAGGTATTTGCTCCTCTTGGTCTCCCACTTACAGATGGCTGTGGCATCACCAGAGTTCCAACTCATGATCACCTGTTAAGGCTTATATATCTGCACCACTGGAGAGCGCCTGAAGGTTTCTGTATCCATTAATGTTTAATACACTGAGTTTGAAAGCCAGCAATGTCACATCCACCCACAAAGAAAAATACCTGGAGAGTCCCAGCTAAAAAAATGTGTTGTTAACTGAGAGATAGAAGAACTTTTGACCAAACAAAGAAGTTTGAGTTGGATGAACTCTGGTGTGCTTGAGTTCACTCAAGAGGACTAGTGTAATCAGTTACTTTATATTAAGTTGAGTTGACTTTTAATTTTTACAGTTTAAAGTGTGTTTGTGTTATTTAAATGAAGATTTTTCATGATTTCACCTCTTGACACACATACACACTCTTACACATACATACACACAAACGTGCATACAAACACAAACATATACACAAACATGTACACGTGCATACAAACAAAAAACCCCACAAAAACATGCACTCAAACGCAATCTTCATTTCTCTGTCAGGTATGACACAGTGGTGGGCTTCACGTGTGTGAATGCGCAGCAGAAGAAAGGGAACTGTTTGGACTACAAGGTGCGCTTTGGGTGCCCTTGTGCTCCACAAGGTATCGCAGAACCATTTCTATTTTAACAGCTTTTATTTAAAATTTATTTTAAAATTTATTTTTATTATTATAAAATAATTATTATAAATTGTTTTTATTTAAATTATTTTAGATCTAAACTTATTATTTTTTTTCAGCAAATTAGGCTTCCAGTAGAAAGAGTCAGGATTTCATGTACAGCATTTGAAGGATTTGAAACTCTCATTCTAGACATATTTGGTCAGATTTATGCTAATAATTGCAAAGTGTACCAGCCATGCACGTTATTATATTGCAGTGTTACACACAGGGAAACAACACTATCACAATGGGTTTCCTTAATATGAATGTCTATTTATTTATGCAATTATTTATGTATTTATGCATTTATTTATTTATTTGAAACAAGTCATGACCTCAAACAGAAAACAGTTATTAAACTGTATCATATACACTTATATGTACGTTTTTACGCAATTACATTATAATATTTTTCCATGAGTGACAAAAAACAAAACATAAGAAAAATAAAGCAACAAGCAAAACAAAAGGATCAGAGGTAAGGAACCATGTAGCCACTCTATACAGCAGGCTACTTATATTTCCTAATCCCAGCTCGCATTAACTGTCAGTTTGGAAAAAGAATCCAAGGCACTTTGGCTGATATACCACATTACGCAGCCTCAACTTCATTTATTCATTAATGAAAGAAAAGAAACACAAGTAGGCACAAACAGCAGCCTGCACCACGCCTGTGCCATGTTAAACAAATTCTCCACAGCTGATAAAAGCACACACTTTGTAAAATAAATTTGTTAAGGTTACTAAGAAGTGTTACTGAAGTCAATAGCTTTGCTGAGTGAATCCACAAAGTGACACCACAAAATCAGCACTCAATGTTAATTTGTAATGCAGCCTGAGGTGAATTACACTCTGAAATTAGAACAAAGAGAAAACCACACAACAGCATGGCAAAGGCCTAGTTTGGGTTAGGCTGCCTAGACACTGCTGTGCTGTATTGCTGCCTCTCACTGTTTACAGCTGGTCCTACCTCTGTTACTCAGATTGTTGCATACAGCATATCATTTTGTAAAGGTTCACAGAACCTCCACCAACTAGCTTTTTGGCATTAAGCTTTCTCAATTATAATCTTTTTTTTGATTTAGCATGAGAGCACATCTATATTTCGCCCAGCTTTGTCCATGCTATTGTAATGTCCATACAGGCAAAAAATACTGTCATGCACATAGCTAAACTGCTAACAGGTAACGAAAAATACTGTGTAAATACATCCATAAGAATTATTGGGAGCTATAAGGTTTCATTACGAATCTACCACTCATAAAGTTTGCCCATGTACATTTGTGCTTGTATGTATTGTGTGCAACATGATGCATTTCCTAATGGAAAGACAATTATGTACTGCACATACATACACACACAAAGTTCAGTGTACTGATACATACAGCTGTGGAGGATTTCTGCTTTTGCACATCCCACCTTCTTATTTGGGGCTTAGCCCTTTCACAACCCCACCCCAGAGGGTAATATCATAGAATCATTCCTGGCCCACATTAAGCAATAAAACACACAAAAGACACTTGCTTAGAGTTGGAAGGTTTTAGCACTTAATGGCAATAACCATATTGTTTCTATCTATATGGTGGTGTCTTTTTCTAATATTGTCTCCCTCATTTTCTCTCTTTAGTATGTTACACTCAGTGGTTTGACCGGGACGACCCCAGTGGGTTTGGAGATTATGAAACCCTGGAACACCTGAGAACAGAATATCCAGGGAAGATCTGCCCTAAACCTCTGAGTATTCAGGCTACTACTATCTCTGGTGTTCCTGCTGAACAATCTGGAAAAGTGATTCAAACGTGAGTCTACTTTTCTCCAACTCTGGATGTATATACTGTAAAAAAAATTGTCAGTACAACTTAGACTTATGAGGTAATTCACTATACAGCATTTCATGAGTTTCTTGAGTTCACCAAACTCAAACTTCTAACAGCTTGACATAATCCCACCAGGTATTTTCTCCTTTTGGGCTCCCACTTACAGATGGCTGTGGCATCACTGTAGTTCTCATGATCACCTGATGTTGAAATTAGAATTTATATGTTTGCACCACTTAAGAGCACCTAAATTTTCTTACGTTTCTGTATCCATACATGTTTAGTTCACTGAGTTTAAAACCCAGCAATTCCACAGCTAACCGGAGAAAATACCTGACGGGAGTGTGTGATGGGCATAGCCACAGCTAGTGGCTGAGAGAAATCAGTCTAAGATGTTTACTGAGAGACAGAACTAAAAATGAGTAGGGAGAATTTTTGACCAAACTAAGTTTGAGTTGGGTGAACTCTACTGTTCTCAAGTTATAGTAACTCAAGAAATGTGCTGTAAAAATTAACCTTAAATTATAAATTCACCTTGTTTTTCATTGTTTACAATGTAGAGTATGTCTGTTATTCAAAGACATATGCTCAAAATATTGCTTCATCAAGTGAATGTTTTTCATGTTTTCACCTCTTCTCACACACACAAATTTGCATACATTCACACACAAACTCAAACACACACACTTATATTTACACACACAAAAACAAACACACTCACACAAACATACACAAACACACATACACAAACACTAACACTCAAACTCACACACTAACATATACACACAATCGCACACACAAACATACACACACAAACATACACACTAACACGTGCACACACACACACACACACAAACATACATATACATACAATTACACGCAATCTTCATTTCTCTGTCAGGTATGACACAGTGGTGGGCTTCGCGTGTGTGAATGCTCAGCAGAAGAAAGGGAACTGTTTGGACTACAAGGTGCGCTTTGGATGCCCTTGTGCTCCACAAGGTATCGCAGAACCATTTCTATTTTAACAGCTTTTATTTTCTGTTTTCAGGAATGTATTTCAGGGGGCTCTGAGTGATTCACAACATGATACATTTCCTAATGGAAAGATAATGATGTGCTGCACATACATGCACACACAAATTTCAGTGTACTGTTACATACAGCTGTGGAGGATTTCTGCTTCTCATTTGGGGCTGAGCCCGTTCACAACCCCACCCCAGAGGGTCACATCCTAGTTTTGTCCCTGGCCCACATTAGGGAACAAAACGCACTAGACACTTGCTTAGAGTTTTAGCACTGTTCAGTTAATGGCAATAACCATATTGTTTGGACATAAATAGTGGTGTCTTTTATTTTAATATCGTTTCTTGTCTTTCTCTCTTTAGTATGTTACACTGAGTGGTTTGACCGGGACAACCCCAGTGGGTTTGGAGATTATGAAACCCTCACAGACCTGAGAAAAGAATATCCTGGGAAGATCTGCTCTCAACCTCTGAGTATTCAGGCTACTACCATCTCTGGTGTACCTGCTGAAAACACTGGACAAGTGATTCAAACGTGAGTCTACTTTTACTAGCCGTACAAGTAACTGTTCCTCTGTTTTAAGACTTTTGCAGTTCAAATTAACTCCAGCATCACAGAACCATGTTAGCAAATGGAATCAATGAGTTATACTTTTATGACGAGTCATGTGGAAAAGAACCAAAAAGCAGATAAAGGTCACACAGAAACAATGGGTGATTGCCCAATCATTCTCCTTTAGGTTAAGCTACATACATCAAGCTTTCAGAGATTATTGAGTTTTGATAACCTGTAAAAACTACTTAATGGACCCAAATGTCTACATCTGTATCACCACATTATTCAGTGTGAAATATGCTGTACAATTAATTCAAATATGACATAGTAATATGCTGCAATACTCAAATAGTGGCATTTTAAAGTCAGTTTTATATTCTGTGTATAGCAGTACCTCCACATCCCAATAAGTTTGAAGTGGAGTTAACACAGGATTCTTTTCTATGCTTTTACCTTTACACACACCCACCAACTGGGATTTCTCTGTTAGGTCTGACACAGTAGTGGGCTTTACCTGTGTGAACGCTGATCAGAAGAATGGGAACGGGTGTTTGGACTACAAAGTGCGCTTCGGATGCCCATGTCCCTTTCCTTAGTGGAGCAGCCTCTCCAGCTACATATATAACAACATATGAACGAATTATTAGCCTTCTAGTAGAAAATCAGACTCAGGCTTTCGCTAATCATTTTGAGTGTGATGTATCTTTTGTTTTCTGTGCTTTTCTTTCCATAAATTACACAATAAATCTGATTCTAAATGAGACATATATGGTTTTTCATGACATGGGAAGGAATGGGAAAAATCACTCACTACTTGTTCGCTGTTTTGTACAGACATCACATCAACGATTTCATTATGTGGCATCAAAACTGTGTTTTAAGACCAAGTTGTCCAGAAAATGTCCTGCAGGTTTTCCTCAATGATCAGTACCCAATTTTCTGAAACTGTCTACAAGGATTCAGCAGCAACTGTAGGCTGTTTTTTTGGTAAAGGCCTTCCCAGAGGAAGAATTTGTTGCTCTTTGATAGCTCTGCAGACTAAATGATTACTCTTATAAAATCCCTCTTGGGCTGTACTATACCTTAAGGGCAAATCAGTAAAACTGATATGTATGAAGTTCCAAATTATTGGTGCTCCATTCTGAACCCCTAAATGATTTTGCCCTCACTAAAAAAGAAAGAAAACTTTAACCTTAACATTTTTTTTAAAGAAAATCTAAACAACATTATGAAACAAGCACACACTATGATGCTAAACTTACTAAATGTTCTACTAGGTTTGCTGGGCCTAGCCTGAAAGCTAAAGATTGCTATAAAAAAAACAAAAAAAAAACAGCAATTGTTCTTTGGGGTTACAGGTGATTTTTTCTTCCATTATTAGGTGTGAATGTGGGATAGGCTCCAGCACCCCCAGCAACCCAGAAAGATAAGCGGCTTAGATAAAGTGTGTGTATGTGTGCGCATGTGTGTGTGTGAGAGAGATTTCTGAGCAGGTAGAGAGACTGAGATTTCCTTGTCGGGAAATTATGCTCCAGTCCTAAGTATCACATTCCTTGCTCAAGCGATTTTGCGTGAGAATAACTAATTGAAGTGTAACAGTATTAAGAACCTTCTCCTGATGAATACACTGTCTACAATTTTCCTGGTTATAACCTTTTGTGTTTTTTGCTAAATGATAGGTTCGGAATTACATACACATTAAATTACAAATAATATCTGGAATGTTGTTGTTTCATGTAAGGTTTTTGTTTTTTTGTCGCTTTTTGGTATGTGTGAAGAATTTCCAGCAGAAAGAGAAATTTGTTGGGAAATCACACTTCAAATGCATCAATTTGGGGAGCTGGAGCCTATCCCAGCAGTCATTGGGTGGAAGGCTAATTCCATTCCAATGAAAAATAAATCACACTGAATTGTTTCAATTCTGTTCCATCAACAATATCTATTATATTATTATATTTCATTTGTAATTTAGTCCTGAGAGAGGAAATGTAGGGATAAATAAACAGACAGACAAACGACAATTAGAGAAAGAAAAAATACAGATAATAATACATAATAAAAAAAGAAAAAAATAAATAAGCAAAGAACTTAATGAGAAGCAATTCATTAGCTGGTGGAATTTGAGAAACTGATCACTGCCAATGCTGTGATTCTGGGTTAGATATGAAAATGATACCAGGGCGTCATTGTGGAATATATGTTTAAGGTGTGTAATGCTTTTATCAATCCATGAGGCAAAATGCAGTGTTTTTATTTACGAGGAGGTCAGAATTTTTCCAAATGGGAGATTTAATATTCAGAGAGAGATTGGGGTTGGGGGATTTTGACTCCCAAATATGAGATGAAATTAGTGTTTAGTGGAATAGAAGATGTATTACATAGGGTCTTATTTATTATTAGAGCAGAGAGGTTAAATGTATGTGCCTATAGCTAAGGAGAGAGAGAGAGAGAAATTTGTAAGCAGATAAACAGACTACTAGATAGATAGACAGATAGTCAGTAATAGCCTGGGTGGTCTGCTTAGTCAGTAATGTTCACCTAAAAGACAACGAATGCGGGAATAATGGGGAAACTCCAGGTCTACATGAGTCGGGCAGATTTCTGCTTTGCAACCGGCCAATAAGTCAAGTCTAGTCAAGTCAGCTTTATTGTGAATACTACAATATGTACAGGACATATTGAAATAAACTCACAGAAGAAGACATAAATGATGTAATCATAAACTCAAACGTCACGCCACAACTTTTTTAAAAAAACATTGTGCCACATTACCTGAAAATATGAACATACATGATCTGGAAAATAAAGAATATTTGAATCCTTTATTCCATTGAGAATGTAGTTGAGTAGAGAAATCCGATTATTGAGCTAAAATCCAGCTCTCTCTATCAGATTTCTTAACTGGATTTCTAGATCGGAGTATTCTGTTTATATGACCATTTGAATAATCAGAAAACTACAGAAATCCGATTATGATTGCTTATATTTTTCATAAGCCATCAGATGAGATAAGCCATGAGAACAGGATTTCCTGGGAAGATCTGCCCTAAACCTCTGAGCATTGAGGCTACCACCATCTCTGGTGTGCCTGCTGAAAAAACTGGAGTAGTGATTCAAACGTGAGTCCTCTGTTAATGGTTCTATAGAGTGTGTGTTTTTAACAGGTCACATTTAAAATATTACTTCTAGGAGTCAGAGGGTGTTGGCACATGATTTTCTTACTTTGTTTCTCTCTCAGATATGACACAGTGGTGGGCTTTGCCTATGTGAATGCTCAGCAGAGGAACAGGAACTGTTTGGACTACAAGGTGCACTACAGATGCCCATGTGTAACTCCAGCTTTTGTTTTTTGCTTTTATTGGATGTTTAAGTCATACCTTCAACAAGGATTAAGTTCCAATGGCAGTCAAGGTTGATTTTACATTCTGTACAGCAGGGGTCACCATCCCTCCTCCTGGAGATCAGTTCCAATCTGCATCTAACATGCTGACCATCTTTACCCAACACAAATGCAACAGATCCAGCCAAGCGAGTAGGTGTGGCAGATAGTCTTTGGACCTATACTCTGCAGGACAGTAGATCTCCAGCACTAGAGTTGGTGAATATTGCTGTAAAGTAAAGGATTTGAAAAGTAAAGAGTCCTCCTAGACCAATAATATTACTCTAGGGGAATTTATATGCTCTTTTGCTTAAAGACTATACCAAAAATTAAATAACTGGATTTTCCAATGATGATTATATATATTTATATACTTTCTATTAATATGTGGCTTGCGAAAACAATACTTACTTTTTTTGTTTTTTTCAGTGTTGTTTTTAAAAAGAAATTTTTTATTTTTTTATTGTGAAGTTGAAAGACTTTAGATTTATAATGAGTTTTAAAAAACTTCATTTAAAAAGTGCTTGTGGTGAAGAGTTTTAATCCATAGGTGGAGCCTTATTATAGCTACACCCCATTTTAGAGCAGGATGTGAGACTGCATCTCTGTCCCTCATGGCCACATTATTTTAAAGCAGATGTGTCCCAATCTGAAAATCAGTGTGTAACCTTAAGAGCTGTCACTACAATTTTCTGCAATTCTTCTTTGTGTTTTAATGAAAAACATTATGACTTTTTGTGTGTAAAACTGTTCAAAACTGTGCTTGCCAGTCATGTATTGGCTAATGTTTTTGAGCTCTGCACAAAATTAGCTAAAACTGTCACTACTAAGTCACTACCAAAACATTTAGTAACATTTTGCAAGCGTTATTACTGTATAGGTAGTGCCAAAATTGAATGTTCAGTCATTTATATTAATGTAATATATAGAATTAAGGTATAGGTTCACTCAAAAAAAAAGATTTTAGTCAAAGTCATTTAAAAGCCCCAAATGTGTTTTCAGCTTTGAACCAAATGATCCATATGCAATCTTTGTCTCTCTGTTAGGTATGACACAGTGGTGGGCTTTGCCTGTGTGAACACTGATCAGAAGAATGGGAACTGGTGTTTGGACTACAAGGTGCGCTTTGGATGCCCATGTCCCTTTCCTTAGTGGAGCAACTTCTCTAACTACTGACTAAATAGATTCATTTACACTTATTTTTAAATTTGTTTCAGTAGTTTTTAGATCAGTAAGAGGATCTAGGCTCATGAATTAATATATATCAGCCTTTTAGTAGAATATCAGACTCAGGCTTTTACTAAGATTTCTGAGTGGGATGCATCTTGTGTTTTCTATGCTGTTCTCTACATGGATTAAAGAATTCAACTGATTCAAAATGAGACGTTTATGGTTTTTCATGAGGGAATGGGAAAAAGTATTCACCCCTTATCACCTGTTGCATAGAGACACCTATGGCTGAATAATTATTCAATTTTATATTGAAATTGCAATTTGAAAGAGCAATTCTCAAACTGATGGTGCTGAAATTTTAATTATTTTGCATTGTTCAGCATTGTCTTAACAAGTTTTAACTGGAGATATTTAACCTAATAATGTAGAGCTTGTGAACTGGTAGTCTTAACATTCAGCATTCAAGCCTCAAGACTAAAAAAACAGATGTACTGGTCTTCTTTGCAAAATAAAGGCTCAGAGTTTAAGAAAAATTACATTTAAATTGCAATCGCAATATTAGTAATAAAAATTGCAATTAGATATTTTCCTGTACTATCTACTCTCCAGTCTCTCTCATACCAAAACTGTTATGTTTTTTGTCCAGAAAATACAGAGCTTTCTCAATGGGCAACACAATCTGTACCCACTTCTTTGTAAGGACTCCTTGTTTGAAGGGAGCAGCAAAGGCTGGTTTTTGGTCCTCAAATGTACCTGAAGGCCAAATCAGTAAAATGATTATGATATTCCACAGAAAACTTTATTCTGAAGCACCAAGACCAAGTGATATTTTAAATAATAAAATATAATATAATATAATAAAAAAGGATTAAGGAAAACAATACAAGCATGTAATTTAAGCAGGGGTATTCAAACTTTTGCATACGGTTGTGTTGTAATGATTTCACTGAACACTAGATGGTGCAGTAGACCAGTGTGTGGCCCTTTACTTATTAAACCGTCTTTCTCTGAAGTTTCCAAACAAGGTGTGCTTGATGTATCATGGTAATCTACCAAGTCAGGGGTGTCATTAGAGGATCATGGATAGCGGGCTAAGCCTGTACTAGGAGGGTCTGGGGACATGGTCCCCAAAGATATTTCTTTTAAATGGCCCCAAAATGTTTAAAATGTACTTTTACAGTAGAAACAGACAGAAAATGTCAAGTACATCA